AGAGAGGAGCAGAAAGGCCCAGATCTCTCCCCAGAGACAGGATCCCCCCCCTGCAGCTCAGAGAGAGGAGCAGTGTGAGAGGTCAATGAGGTTCTGGTGTCAGGCAGGAGCCTGGGTCAGGTAATGATAGACATTTGAGATGGACTGTAGTTTCCAGATAGCCCTGTGACCAGTGTCATCTGAGGAAGCCCCAGAACCGATAAAGAGGAGGCCAGCAGGGCCCCAAGACCGATTAAATCCCTTACAAAGGGGAGGATTTTGGCAGCATACTGTCAGATCTTCAGACATGACCCCTCTCTGTCTGGCCACAGAACAAGGAGCTGCCACCAAAGGCTCTGCCCCTCGGATCCCCAGCGGAACCGACCTCCCTCCGTGCTTGAGCATCAGCAGCAGGACATGCCGAGAGCTGACCGGGGCCGGACCGAGGCCTTGCCTCTACCGTGCGCCCACAGACTGACTTCACATTTGGTTCGTGAACTTCCTGCCCCCTCGGTTACCTTGTTTGTTGTGTGGTTTGTTTTCTGTCCAGATCTGTGTGCCGTGTAAGAAGCCAAATTTAATCACCTGGTGAAATGTCACTGAGCTTGGAATCCTGAGCCTGCTGTATAATTGGGACTAACTTTCCTTTATTACTGAATAAAGCTGGCCTTGTGACGACACAGCTCGTGTGAGCGCATTCACAGTGTGCTCATGACGCGCAGAGAGTCTAGGTCTCACCGGGAACCCTCAGTGGGTCAGGGGCAGTGTCCTCGATAAACAGGGCCGGATATCCACATGCAACATAGCGGAACTGGAGGCTTCCGCACACCATGCCCAAAAATTAAGTCAAAAGAGATTAAAGAGGTAACTGTAAGACCCAAAACTGTAAAATCCCTAGAAAAAAACACAGGGAAAATTCTCCTTGACGGTGGTGTTGGCCATGATTTTTGGACATGACACCCAAGCACAAGTGATAAGTCTTGTCGGGAGGGGGGACCACACGGTGAAAAGACAGCTAGAATGGGGGAACATATTTGTAAACCACATGGCTGACAAGGGGTTAGTGTCCAAAAGGAACTCATGCAGCCCAAATGGGGAAGAAAAAGAAAGGGTCAAATTCACAGTAACAGAGAGTAAAACGGTGGCTGCCAGGGGCAGGGCGACGAGGAGACACTTCCCAAAACTCCCTGCATTGTGTACTTCACACAGATGCAGTTCACACCGCAAAAGAGATCATTTTTTTTAAAAAACGATACTGTGAATGATCTCATCACAATGAATTTGAAAACTTAGATGATGCAGACAAGTTCTTAGAAAACACAATCACCATTTCAATTCATACCTGCAAAACTCAGTAAACTCCAACAACCAGTCGTGATTTTTATTTTTAATTTTTGGGGGCAGAGTGTGTGGGCAGGGTGGGGGAGGGGCAGAGCCGGAGAGAGAGACAGAGAGAGAGAATCTCAGGCAGACTCCTCGCTGAGCGCAGAGCCCCACGCGGGGCTCAATCCCACGACCCCGATCATGACCTGGGTCAAAACCAAGAATCGGACACGCAACCAACTGAGTGAGCCACCCAGGTGCCCCCATTTGTGATTAAAAACACACACACACACACACACACACACACACACAGAATAACCAAAAAAAATCCAGAACAAAGAAACGTCTTAGCAAACGAAGACTTCCGGTCATGAGAACTTTCTCAGCCTGAGAAAGGGTACCTACCAAAAAATCTCAGCAGCAGGGGTCAAGCGGTAAAACAGCAACAGCCCCTCCTTGAGGATCAAGAGTGGGCTGAGGTGCCACCTCCCCACTGAACTCAACACGTGGCGGAAGGGCAGGGAAACGGTGAAGGCGTGTGGGCCGCCAGAGAGACACGAAACTGTCGCTCATCCTCAGATTACAGGACTGTCTACGCTCCCCTGCACCCCCTACAGAAGAGAATCAGTAAGAACCATGTACAGTTTTGCAAACCTATTCCTATACGTGCATGAGAAGAACTTAGGCAAGTGCAGTTTCACAGAGGGGCCATTTGCAGTAATAATACAACTGTTTTTAAGACCACATGGGTGAATTTAACAAAAGATAGGTAAGAACGTTAGGAAAATGATACAGCTGCTGTAAAAGACATTAAATTAGACTTCAATAAATGAAGGGATCCGTGATGTCCATGGGCTTGAAAAATCAAGAGCACTAGGATGGCCACTCCCCCCAGCTGGACAAATTGAATGCAGTTGTGTGTGTGAGTGAGCATGTGTGAGAACAGAGCACAAACAATGTGCTCACATTCACACGGAGGAGCAAAGCCCCAAGAGCCAGGATGCCCGATAAAGTTGCAGGACACAGAATCAATATGCAGAAATCTGTTGCATCTCTATACACTAATAGCAAAGGGAAGGAACAAAACAATCCCGTTTCAATTGACTCAAAAAGCATGAAATACCAGGGATAAATTTAACCAAGGAAATGAAAGACCTGCACACTGAAATCTGTAAGTCATGGACGAAAAGAGCTGAAAACACAAGGAAAGGGAAATATATACCATGCTCACGGACCGGAAGAATTAATGTCGCTAAGACATGCATACTACCAAATGTGATCTACAGGTTCAGGCCGAGCCCTAAAAAATCCAATGGCATCTTTCAGAGAAAAAGAGCAAACAGTCCTAAAATTGGTAGGGAACGATGAAAGGCCATGAATAACAGCCACAGCAATCTTGAGAAAGAAGAAGAAAGCTGGAGGTGTCGGACTTCCCGATTTCCGGCTGAATTACGAAGCCAGCGTACCCACAACAGTATAGAACTGACATTACCAGAAGACGCGCTGAGCGTGGAAGGGCCACCAGCAAGACAGAGCGACCGTTCCGATCTGCCTGCCGGATCCTCTGTGCCTGGGGCCCGGGCAGGGTACCGCGTTTCCACACCAGTTGGCTGTGTGGACATCTGCCTGCTGTGGAGGGTACCAAAGTGCCCCGTCCACCACTCGGACCCTCCCGGGGCATCGGGCCACAGTGAATGACAGCTTACTTCCTGGAACTCTGTACTCGGTACAAACTGAGGTAGACAGAACCACAGGGGGCTTTCTGGCACCAGCTCCGACTCTCAGAGATCAGCCTACACACACTCAGAGGCAGACGTCCCCTCGGATCCCGGCCGTGTGCTCCTAGGAGCCAGAGATTCTTGAAAGCACCAGGGTTTCTGTGAAAAGGGCCTCGGTCTGTCCAACAAAGGGAGCACTTCTGTTGAACGGCAGCTTCCGTTAAAAAGCCCCGAGGTAGAACACGGACTGTGTGTTCATCTGGGTCTGAGCGGAATAATCTCAGGTCCCAGTGACCCGGAATCCTGAAGACATTAGAAGACATGGGATCTCAAAGGCAGCATTTCACTGGGAAGCTGTCCGAGCTAGCCGCCAACCACCGTGGCTGACCTCCCTCTTGTTTGCTCCCGGCTCCCAGCACAGGGGCTCTAGGTCCCACCCACGCCACTGCCCACACTCTGCAGGTGGGTCCACAGACCCTGAGGAGCCCGGAGTGTCTTCAGCAGCAGCGCAGGCTCTGAGCATGCACACCCGTTGTGTGAGGCTGGCTCCCAGGCCCTGGGTCACACACTGAGGGGCGCTGAGCGGCCCTCGGCTGCACAGGAGACCAAACCCTGACTGGGCCCTGGTGTTGGTCTGGAGACCAGCCAGTGGGTGCTGAGGGGGGTACACACTTGCAGGACTTACCACCACCCCATGACGGCCCAGGTGCTGGCATTAACACGGTTTCCTGGTAACCTCTCCCCTCCGAGGATATAAAGGGGAGCCAGAGCTGAGGGGCCTGGGGCTGCAACCGCTCCCAAGCCCTGTCCTCCACCGTCTGCTCCAGACCCAGTGCTCCCCTGCCGTCCCAGCACTCTGCGGCTAGGTTTCACCCGGTGTGCTCTCAGTCTATCTGCTCTACCCAAAGTCACATCCCACCACCTTCCGCCCAAAATGAAACCAGAGGTCCACACAGGCTGCTGGTGGGTCACGCTTTAATAGCCGCCCCGGAGCATCAAGTGGGACACCCTGTAAGCATGAGGTTCACATTGCAGGGGACAATGGAAGTCAGTGGTTTAAGGAGGGGGGAGTCAGCTGTCAGGACACAGCAACATCTCAAACCAGCAGCAAGGAAACCAAGCAGAAGCTCCTCCCCGCACCCTGAGCAGCCCCGGGGGTGGGGCGCATGCTGCCGAGACCACGGAGCACAGGTGGGGACCCCACCTGAAATGCTGGCGGGGCCCCCCACAGCCTGCACATGGTAAGGCAGTTCCCAGGGCCCACCTGTCCTTTCAGCCAAGCCCAAATGGGAGACGGGTGCAGGCAGCCCAGGGGCAAGGCTCTGGACTGTGCTTGTCCTGGGCGGGTGGCTGAACACCCTCTAAACCCGGACGGCTGGGGTCTTGTCCATCCTCATCTGGCAGAAGCTGCAGCTCAGCTCAGCCCAGAAGCAGGTGCAGGGCCTGCTTGTCCTCACCCCCACGCTGCGGGAGGGCTCCTGCCCCTCCTGGCCACAGGGCGGCCGGGAGAGGACAGCCCGAGCTGGGCATCGGACCCTCTGTGGGAAACATCCGGGCCATACCTGCACACCCACGATGCCCGCAGCCTGGGAGGGCCACGACACTGGGGGGCCTCCGGAGGGTGTGTGCATTAACCAGACAACCGTGGGAAGCGGGGGCCAGCCTGCAGAGCGCAGCAGATGGACAGGGCGCTCCGCGGCCCCTGGCAGCTCCAGAGCTACTTGGTGGCTGTGGGCCACCAGTCCGGCACGGAGGCAGTTAAGGCCACCTGGCCACTCTCAGCGGTCCTGATGTGGAGAGGGCCCTTGATTTGCTCTGACCGCAGCAAGGCCAGGCCCACGTCCCCCTGGCCTGCCCTGTACTTGCCGGCGGCCTGCCCGGACGCAGTGAGCACCGGGGTGCCAGGGCTGACGCCGCCGGCCGGGAGAGGGCCCGACAGCCGCACCGGGAAGAGGCGCTTGCGGATGACGCCCATGTGGTGGGTGCGGGCCGTCAGCTCCTGACCGATGTAGCAGCCCTTGGTGAAGCTGACACCATTCATGAAAGCCAGGTTGGACTCCAGGGGCAGGGCCACTCCTGGGGGCAGGTCATGGATCCCCTCGGGAACGCCTGTGGGGTGGAGGGGGCGGGTCCCTGAGCGCTGAGACGTCCGCGGGGCTGGGGGCGGCCCCTCCCCTGCACCACTCCCCGCAGGGCGCGCGCTCTGCGCCCTATCCTCTGGCACAGGCGGGGGATGGGGGCTGACGAGCTAGCGCTGGAGCCGACCCTTCACCCCGGCCCCCCACGCAGCGAGCCCCCGCCGCCCCCCGCCCCCCAGCACGGCCCGGGCCGCGCCCAC